TATCGGCAGTGTAACAAACCAACTTTTCTTAAAGTTTATGTTTTTTCAAGTAGTGCAAAAGATACTGTGTCAAAATTTGAGCAGTTTCACTTGACACTTCATCAAAATTTAAAAGCTTAATTTGAATTCCTTCCTGCAGGTTAATATAGCTTACAACAACAAGAACAAGTTTTATTTCACCTCTGTTTGAGCTATCCATCCTTACTGTTACATAATTAACCTTTTCCAAAGAGTGCAATACATTATGAAATATAAATGTAGAAATAACTTTGATAATAATTGACTCTGTTTTTGTTCTAGCAGATGAAAATTTTGGGTCATATAACTTTTTAACCAGTTTTGATGTGCAGTCATGTTTTGACACTGAGTTCGTGTCTAGAGCCCCATTCACAAGAGCAGATTCGATCAGTAGCGGAACTGGTTTTTCAAACGTGTCCCATTCACACATTGACAAGCATTAACTGCTTCTCCAAATTAGAGTTAGAACATTCTTACCTCTCGAGACCAGGGCAAATGGGGAGATTTCCCATAATGCGCGAATCGCGGCTTACTTTATTTTAACAAATAACATGGCTGACGTGCAACTGACTGCTCTCTGGACTCTCAGCGAAACAATCGCTTTGGCGATATCATCGAAAAAAATACAGAAATTTGCAAAGAAGTACAGACAATGTTATCTGATGCTGGGTATTCCCGAAATACCGTTCAAATTAAATCTAAAGATGCACATATCAGCTTCAACTCAATAAGGGGATTCGGTAGCTTTTGAATAGGCTAAGACTCTGGCAATAATCTGAGAAATACTCAGTTCGAATCACAGATTCTTTTGTCTCGGAGAAATGAGAGATAATGAGACATGTAATGTGACATTTTCCGGAAAATTCCAATCGTGATTTTAGCTAATAAGCACTTGGAAACAATTTTGTTGCTAAAGTGCAGAATCGCCAACTTATTTGTTTGCGCTTTTTACAAGAGTAAGAAGAATTGGATTTTTGTCAATTACTTTTTAAGTGAAAATAGATCGATGTGTACATGGATAAAGTCAAGAGTGGGCGCAATGCCAATTATGTGCAATTCTGGGATTTTTTTTTAAGTGAAAATAGGTCGACGTGTACATGGATACCGTGTAAGTGCAATTCTTAAAAACGCGGCAAGCAGTGGGCGATTCTGCCCTTTCTCCCAATTTCGCACCTAATCTTCATCATGATTAAGCACTTTTGTTTAATAAAAAGTTCTATTCGGCTAGCAGATTGTTGTAAAAAATGTTGAGTTAAAAAAAAAAAATGCTTTACTTTGTGAAAACAAAATGTCGTCCAAACAAAAACTAGCAGGTTGCTGTAGCAGGGTTGGTTGCCAAATTACCATAATCCGAAGATTCACAAAATATTTAAAAAGAGGAATAAAACTAGAAACTAATTAAAAAATAATTAAAGTTGTTTTTTAACTTTTGCTTACTGTTACCGAAACTTCCATAATTTCCAAAGCATTTACCAAAGAAGTATTGATTATAGTATTTATTAACTTGTTTAGTTTTCAGAACCTAAATATTGCAAAGTTCCCAAATTGAGAACATAATTTCATCTTAAAATATGACAGCAGAAAATAAAAATTAATTACTTTAGTTTTCTTTCTCCATTAAATGAAAAAATATAAAATAGTTTTAAAAATAAACATCTAGTATACAATGATTTCTTACCTGCACAGAAATAATGTTTCCCAAGATTGCTGTATTTGGTACATCCACGATTTAACTGAAAATATTTGAGATTTCATTTAGCCTTTCTTTAATTACTGTAGAATCCTCACCAGTTTTGTGAAAGTTGTATACTGACACATTTGATACTGGATCCAGATAGGCATGATCTTCAACTGGGGATGGAAATACCAAATACATTATTCGTGACAAACACAAGAATGGAATTTGTGTCTGCACTGGCAGAGCTTAAAGTTATACATTTCTGCATTAAATTGGCAAACAACCAATTAAAAAAAACATATAATTTACAGTATACATCTCTGATGAAACATTTAGCCACCTTTCAGAATTTCAGTTCTAAAAGGTGGCTAAGTATTCACAGCTTTAGTATTAGTCCTTTTTAGCGAGAATTTTTTGGCGACATTTGGGCATGACAAATGAAAATTTATGATAACCCTGTTATTTAAGGTAACCGTAAATACAAGGCTGAAACATTTGCCGCCATTTCTGTCCACATAACTTTAACGAATTTGATTAGTAGCAGAGCTTTGATAGGCGGGAGGGATAAATTGCAAGTTTTTCTTAAACTTACTTTTGTATTAGGAAAGCACAACTTTTAAAACATTTAAAAAAAAGCCAAAATTTATAGCTAAAACTGATGCTTTGGCTCTAGTGCCCCTTCGATTAGCGACATTTTTTTAAAATTTTGGCAATGAAACCTCATTTCTGGTTACCATGAGAGTTTTAACTTTGTTTTAGCTTCCTGATTTTATTTAAATGAAAATAAGATTGATGTGTACATGCACAAATTTAAGACAGTGCGCAATGCCTAGTTTGTGCAATCCTAGGATGTTTTTTTAAGTGAAAACAGATCGATGTGTACATGGACACAGAGTTTGTGCAACATTATTTTGGTTTTGTGTATTTGGTATTCTTTTTTGACGTCGATCTTGCTGTGAAAAAAGAATCGCCAAAAAACAAGGGGCACCCAATTGTAAACTTTTACCAATGCTTTTAATATTACATCACATGATTCTTGACAATTTTTCAAATGCCAACGCAGCATATTATAAATCCCACCAACCCTTAAAAATAAAATAAAATAAAAAACATTTTTAGTAGCATGAGGTAAACTCTTAGTGTTTCCTTTGCTAAGGAACCACATGCAAATTTAGACTACTTGCATGTTTCTTAAAATGGGCAATGATGAAAATTACCATGGTTTAAAAATACTTTTTTGCCTCATTTCTTAAATTAGAATTATAGGGATGTGTAATTGCATGGATTCATAGACCAAAATCAGGTTTCATTATTGCTCTTAGAACATTTTTATAATTTGTCTGACTATAAAAAATACAATGTTGCTTAGATTAAGGAACATATTGCTTATATTTTACTGTTGTGAAAATTTGTAAATCTCACAATCTAATAGCTTTATATGAATAACCTTCACTGAGTATCATTACTTTTATAAATAGTATGTTGTCGAGTTTTAAACTGTCGACCATTTTTAACCATAACTGTTGACTTTTTATTTTAAACTATTTGCAAATTTTCTACATTACTTAAAAATTTAATTCAACAGAAATCTTAATTTTTTATAGTAAAAACTCTATAATAAAAGTAAATTTATATATAAAAATTTGACTACACGGCAAGCACTTAAATATTGATTTCAATGTCTTTAATTATTATAAAGTTTAGATATATTCTTATAAAGTTAACATATACTCTTATTCTATTATAAAGTTTAGGTGTACAGAACAGAAGGCACACTTTGTGCTTATGACTCAATCAACTACTTGAGGCAAGATAACTATTATCAATTAATTTCAAATGTAAAATTTAAATTCAAATAAACTACCAGCCAAAGGATACACAAATCAACTTAATGTGAAGTTGGCTCAAAATTTAACCAGCATGGAATTCAACTGTCGGCAATTATACTATAAGACTGAAGACTAAAAATTTTATCTAGCAACCTAGTAGCGTGGCTTCAAAAGGCAAAACACGGTTTGTTTTACAAACTAAACACTTCAACTGGATTCTGGTGAAAAAAACGAATGGGGAAAATGACAGTGAAGGTCCCAAACATAAAATAACTCTGGTTACAAAATAAAGGAACCTTACATTATACTTTGTTCACTGATTAATTATTCCCTACATGAAATAGTGTAAGGCATTTTTGTTTGCATCGTATACAAATTATTTATTTTATTTAAATGCTGTCCAAAACTGAACAGGATTTTGCAAACATACCGACCATATTTTTCGAACTATAGACGCAACACTTCTTCACTTCAGAAATAAGATTTATTTTCTAAGAAATCAATTAATTTCATGTGTTAAGAAACATCACTTGATTGCTGTTGGAAAGACTGTTTCAGAATGAAAAAAGTGAGGTTACTACAAATATTATTATGACAACTTTAAAGCATTGCCATGTAAAGCTTTCACATAAAAATGATGAGGGTAGCTTTAGCAGTGTAACGCACAGAAGCATAAAAATTAACATTACTTTTCAAATATTTCATTTAACTCATAATTAAAAACATTCTTTTTCTTTATTAAAATAAGCTAATTTTTGCTGCTTGATAGTTATTGTAAAAAGGCAACAAAATATAGCGATCTGTATTTAAGAAGAGAGAACAGTATTTATGAATAGAAAATAAATATATATGTAGGCTAGCAAAGGATGCCTTCATAAAGGACTTTTTAGGAGAAACTGGCTCAGATTCACGTTACATGTCAGGAAAACGACAAAAACTCCCATACAGCCAACCTGAACTACCAGTGTTCAGTGGCTTATCGCTCCACCACTAGTGGATTTCAATGACTGTTCGAATCTTTTACAGAAATCATCAGTTATGACAATTGTTATTGTGCATTATTACCATTGGCATAAAATTTACACATTTATGATAATTTAATTTTAATTATAATCATAATTCATAAAAAGTATTTCTAACACTGGTACAAAATTTACTCGTTATAATTTAATTTGATTTCCTTCATTAGAAATATTTTTTTTAATTTCCTTTAAATAACAATCTAAGAAACTAAAGTAACATATACTAATTTTAAATGCATTTATTAACCTTTTGTAAATGTAAAATATTAGCTAAATATAATGTAAATATTAACTAACTACTTAAAATATTAATTAATATTTGATATATTGTGTAATTTAAAATATCCTTTTGTAAATTTCATTACTTATAATCACTGCCATAAATTCATTTATGGCAGTGTTTCGAGAATTTATCATAGCAGTAACAGAAGTGTTAAAAATTAAAAAAAACTGTTTTTTTTTTTTTTTTTTTTTTTTTTTTTTTTTTTGCAGTATTCTAATGACAAGCTTATTTTTTTAGAATTGTTAGTTAGTATAGATATTCTTAACGGGTTTTGCTGACAATCCGCCATTTTCCGATCCTCGAAGCCGGATCTACCTTGGCGACAAAGGTTTATCTCCAAAAGGACCAATATGCAGGAGATATAAACACTGAACACTAATTATCATATAAAAATATTTTGTTTTGTGAAAACTAATGAATCATTTATAATTAATTTCATCAAATCAGAACACACGTTCCTCCCAAACTGTCAACAGTAGGTTTTATGCTATTTGGATTTGCCTCTCTAAACTCTTAAGACATTTGCTGTACCTACATTCTGTTATCCTGCAAGAAAATCTAGAATCAACATTATGAGAATTAAATATTATTACTAGAATTACATTATGAGGTTTATAACCTGTAGAGACAAATGCTTACAGCATAGGTAAATAAAAGTCATTTGTAATACATGCTCCAAAGACAGAAGGTTTCTTTTCTTCTAGAATAGAGATATGTTTCTTCAAATTCTTCATTGCCCTAATATGACTTGTTACACACATAACTCATAATATTTGCCTCCTATGTTGATATCCACATTTAAATGCTTTATGGAAAACACTTAATGAATGTTTATGTATATCACACACAAATTTTCTTTCCAGTGTGAAAAGCCATGTGCTTGCTTAAATTACACACTTCAGTAAACATCTTCCTACATATTTCAGACATATGTGGTTTCTCTCCTATGTGAATGGGCATATGCCTGTTTAAATCACTTTTTCAATTAAATGATTTCTTTCATACTTCACATATATGTGGTTTCTTTGGTTTGTGAATGCACATATGGTCGTTTAAATTGCACTTTTTACTAAACGTCTTCTTACATACTTCACACATATAAGGTTTCTCTCCTGTGTGAAAGCGCATATGGTTGTTTAAACTGCAATTATGTCTAAACGGCTTTTTACATACTTCACACATATAAGGTTTTTCTCCTGTGTGAATGCGCATATGGTTCTTTAAACTGCAACTATCACTAAAAGTCTTCTTACATACTTCACACATATAAGGTTTTTCTCCTGTGTGAATGCGCCTATGGTTCTTTAAATTGCCCTTTTGAGCAAACGTCTTCTTACATACTTCACACATATGAGGTTTCTCTCCTGTGTGAATGAGCATATGGTAATTTAAAGTGCCCTTTTTAGTAAATGTCTTCTTACATACTTCACACATATAAGGTTTCTCTCCCGTGTGAATGCGCATATGGCTCTTTAATTTACCCTTTTGAGCAAACGTCTTCTTGCATACTTCACACATATACGGTTTCTCTCCTGTATGAATGCGCATATGCCTTTTAAAATCACTTTTTGAATTTAATGAGCTCTTGCATAGTTCACACACATTAGGTTTCTCATCAGTGTGAATAAGCATATGGTGGTATAAATTACCCCTCTGACTAAACTTTTTCTTACATACTTCACACATATAAGGTTTTTCTCCTGTGTGAATGCGCATATGGTAGTTTAAATGAGTTTTTCGATTAAATGATTTCTTACATACATCACACATATAAGGTTTCTCTCCTGTGTGAATACGCATATGCATGTTTAAAACTGCTTTTTGATTAAAAGATTTCTTACATACTTCACACATATAAGGTTTCTCTCCTGTATGAATGCGCATATGCCTTTTAAAATCACTTTTTGAATTTAATGAGCTCTTGCATAGTTCACACACATGAGGTTTCTCACCAGTGTGAATAAGCATATGGTGGTATAAAATACCCCTTTGACTAAACTTCTTCTTACATACTTCACACATATAAGGTTTTTCTCCTGTGTGAATGCGCATATGGTCATTTAAAAAGCCCTTTTCACTAAATGCCTTCTTACATACTTCACAAATATGAGGTTTCTCTCCTGTGTGAATAAGCATATGCCTGTTTAAATTATTTTTTAAATTAAATGACTTCGTACATACTTCACACATATGAGATTTCTCTCCCATGTTAATGTGCATATAGTTGTTTAAATGAGCCTTCTAAGTAAATATCTTTTTACAAACTTCAGAAATATGTGCTTTTTCTCCAGTGTGAATTCGTGTGGTTGTGTAAATGCCCCTTTTCATTAACCTTTTAACTGTCATGCCCGAAATAGCCTCGGGCACAGGACTAGTATTCCAAAATGTCAAGCCCGAACATTACTCGGGCTAACCTTTTTTTAGTGCATCGTTTTGTTATACCCAAATATATATCGTGAGAAGGTTATGTTTGCTTCAATTCAAAAGATGGCAGGACTTTACTGAAGGTTTCAAAGGATAGAGATTAAGTTCAAAGTGCGCAGCTTTTTTTTTTTTTTTTTGATTGAGAGGCAAACTTTCATTTTTGGAATAAAAAAATTGACAATTTATGCACCAAATCATCAAAATAACTTGACAGTTAAAAAGTGTTCTTTCAAACTACACAAATATGCAGTTTTTCTTCTGTGTGAAGTTGCATACGACTCTTAAAATGGCTTTTAAAATTAAATGTTTTCTTACAAACGTTATATATATAACATTCCTCTCCAGTGTGAATAATCAAATTCAAAAAAAAGAAAAAAAAAAAAAAAGAGGGAATACAGTAGACTGTAATCACAAATATTTTCCTGCCTGGAACTGAGGCATGAGTCAAACTCCAAAAGAAGATTCTAATCGTCCACTTAAATTTATTAATCTTTACATCTGAAACCAAACGGAAGATACACCTCAAAACAAATTCATGAAATACAGATAACTTTGTCACATAGAAAAAAACCAATCATTAAAAGTCTCTAATGCCACCTTGCAACGAGAAATAAGGAGCTGAACACTGCAACATTCCTAATCATTAATCTAATCTCTGGATTTCTTAACAGTCCTTCCATGTCTCGCAATACCATTTGTCATTTGACATAGGTATGTTTTAAAGTCCGTAAACAGTTTTTACAGAATATCTTCCTAAAAATTGTAGCGGTTTTTACATCACAGAACGCTATTTATGTTTTTAAGAATATTTTCACTAGTATATTTTAACGAAAATTATTTATTACTTTAGGCACATCAATTTTCTAAAACAAAACTCAACCTAATACCCCCGAGGAAAATAAAAGATACTATTACTTTTACCGTTGCCATTCAGGTCTCCATAAAGTTGCACACAGACTGACAAAGTAGACACGCGACGTTAAATACAGACTTATTCCGTGCTTTTCCTCATACGCATGCGCATTAATATGAGGGAATGTGTCTTATTTGGCGCTTTATCGCAAAGATAACATATTTCGATTATTTAGGAAAATAAACAAAGCATTGCCGAGAGAATAAATAATCCGTACTAAGTTTATATGTAGTCTATATAACTTTTTTAAAATTAGTTATTTATCCTCATCTTTAGATCCTTTAATCCAAAAAATTGTTTGAAAAATTCAGGCTGTTTATGTTATAGGACATAAAATTTCGTTTCGGAAAGAAAAACAGTATAGAAATTTAACAAGATGCTTAGTATGGTTTTTACCTCATAATGTGGTAAACTTATATGAGAATAAAGTGAATAAAAAAAAAAGGAATCGTTTGCTTGAAAGAAAAAATTACTGATGTATTTAGTAGTAAACTTGAGAAACCTTTTTCCAATCAAAATTTTATGTCAGTATGTATGTAACAGTAAACTAAGCAAAAAATATAAAATACATTCAGGAAGTAAATATGCATGATTTGTATGTATAGATTATAAATCAAAATATATTATATACATTTTGTATACATACATTTCTGAATGCAGTCCCAATAACAGAACAGCACACCTCTGATTTCTATAAACACTGACATGTAGAACTCAAATTCCATATTAACTTTCCTCAATAAGTTGAACTTTATATTATTTGAATTATTTAAACACTCTGTTTAGTTTCACATCACGAGAAACTGTATTTTTTTGCACAATTAAGCTTTTGTTGCTTTGAATCTACCTGAATATTATTTCATTCAGTCGTTCTCGCCTTTAAATTAAATCTGACTCCATTCTATAGCATTTGAAAAGAAATTTTTTAAATAAACAATAGCATTTTTCTTGCTTGAGAAAGCCAAACTTTATTTCCTTACACGCTTAAAGAAACCAAAACCTTATTCTAATCTTTCTTACTTTAGCCAAACTACAAAAGCAAAACTCTGTCTAAAAAGGAACACAATGGCTGTTGAATATCCGCGATTCAATTCACCTATAGATGGCGCTTTCACACATTAGTATGGCGGATAAAACTCGGTATTTTGATTTGTGATCTGACTTCGTACATTCAAAAATGGAGTTACTTAGCTCTTCCGAAATGTTTGATTTTGTTCAAGGAGGCGTAAATTCTCGTTGTATTACTGAAGCAGAGAGCATTTTAAAAAGCTGATCATTTGGTAATGCACGGAATTTTACTTGAAATCCAATGTACAAGTTTTGGCTTTCTATTTAAGGATAAGTTCTATAGCGTCCTGATCGCATGAAATCGAAGGACATTTCATTGTTCAAAAAGGACAAATAAAAATTTTTAAAAAAAAAAAATTCTTGTTCATGTAAAGGAGGAACTGCTGGCTGTTGTAGGAAATTGTGTCGCTGTTTTATTGTATTGTGACAGGTAGCTGATTTTAACGTTCACTGATTGTAAACAAATGATTTCATATGTGTTTTACTTGGGATTTCTAGAAAATCTGTGCAGTCAAAAGTGTCTTTTTTTCCCCATAAAAATGATATTGAATCATTATATGTATACTAAAAATATATTGATCTATTATATGCATCTATTGTATTTATTATACACATGATAGCACTAATCATCAAATGCAATTTTGAGAATATCAACAAGCAAAGCACTTAAAAATGAAAAAAAGACACTTGTTATAGAACTATTAATATTCTGTATGTATTATAGAAAATACATGCAATGAATAATACCATGACCAAACATTTCAAAAGAAAAAAAAAAAAAAAAAGCAGATTAAGTATTACCTACCTCAGTACTTGAGAAAGCAATTGTGGCATATAACATGCAGTTAACTTTTGATTACATGATATTACAAGCATTTTCTTTAGTTTTGTCCTACAAGTGGTTTAAACAACTCAATACTGGTAGTTTAATCTCAGCTCAAATCCTGGTGAACAAGCTGGCTGTGCAGTTTTTATTTTTTTGCATGTGTTTTGTGAATACGAACCAGTTTTCCCTATAAAGTTCTTCATAAAGGCATTCTTCTTCAGGCTGATAACCAATGTGCTTAGCCATATTCAAATAGCCTAATCTAACCTTACCTTTTCTTTAGATTCTATATTCACATGTTATATCTTTATCTGTTAAGATTTGTTCATAACAGGATCACCAGGCTTCTACCAATCTGGCAGGAGCATACTCAAAACATGTCAAAACCATGTGATTTATAACAAAATCGATCATGTTGTCCTTGCAAACCTTTATAAATGTTCCAAATTTTCTTAATAATCTTATTATTTAGAAATGTGTTTATTGTTGTTTTTATATGAACAAAAGCATTTAAATATATCAATTTTAAAAATAACTGAAGTGTTCTTTTAATCAGTTTTGCTTTTCTAATGCTGTTTTTAATTAATAAACTTTATATCTGAGCCAAAAATTCAAGAATAAGTCTATTAAAAAGTCTGTGTGATAAGTCTATTAATTAATTACATTGTATGAACTTCAACATCTTTGAATATGAAACACCGAACTAACACTTTGAATATGAAACATTCTATATGAAAACACCGAGTCCATTCCAATCTAATAGAAGAATAAATTATACTTACGAATTCACAGTACGAGCTTCTCTGTATTATATTACACAAAGATTAGAAACCAAGTCTCCACATGGGAAATCTTACACTGATATGATGGTCTTGTATTGAAACAGAATTGTAGCAACATAGATGATATGAATTACATTATGCCAAAGAATTATTTCATCCTAAATAAATTATAGCATTTAGTTTAACCAAAGACTCACAAAACAAAATTTCAGATTTGGATTAATCTTTGGATTATGGTAACTTGGCGATTTTTTGGCTAAAATTTGGCGACCAACCCTGCTACCGCAACCTGCTAGTTTTTGTTCGGACACCATTTTGTTTTCAAGAAGTAAAGGCATGTTTTTTTTTACTCAACATTTCCAACATTTTTTTCCAACAATCTTCTAGCCGAATTACGCTTATGCTAGAACTTTTATGGAATAAAAGTGCTTAATCATGACGAAGATTAGGTACGAAATTGGGACAAAGGGCAGAATCGCCCACTGCTTGCCGCGTTTTTACGAATTGCACATACACGGTATCATCCATGTACACGTCGACCTATTTTCACTTAAAAAAAATCCTAGAATTGCACAAAAATGGCATTGCGCACACTCTTGACTGTATCCATGTACACTGCTAAAGTCCTAGCTAGTAACCTTTATCGCCTTACCAAAATGTCGCAAAACTACCTGTTACCATATTCCAAAGATTAGCCCAGATTTGTTGTAAAATTGGTGTCATGTTTTTTCCCTATGCTATAATAACTCCACACACATTATCTACATATTTCTTGTCAGTCAAGAAGATTGATGGAAATATAGTCCTTTCAAAAATTATTGTAACAGATATTTCTTTTTAAGTTACATGATCAACAGAAACTATAGAGATATAGCATATAAAAAAACCTTGAAAAATTATTTGTGGAAATTTGGGAGGAACAGATGCTATTTATTTGGTTAGATAATCAACAGATAAAAGTGGTTTATTAAGGATTTCTCAGTGTTATATGAAACCACCGAGAATTTATGAGTACGTTTTGATATCATGCTTATCCATTATTGGGGCTAATGTACATTGTTATCAGTTTTTGTTAGCCAAAAATGGTCGAAAGTAGAGTAAAAATATTAGGAGTTTGACGATAATCATCAGTATATATACCATAATGTATTTGCATAGAAATATAATACCCAACAGCCAAAAATAAATTAAACTTATCAAATGAATTTTAGTATGCCATAATGGTTTCATGGGAAAATATAACATACCTCTTAAACAACTACAATCATTATATACAACAGCCATTTCATTATAAAAAAGGCATAAATTATATTAATCAGATAAAATTTTTTGTAAGAGCTTCACTATCTGGTTATAATTCTTAAGCAAACAAGAAGCCATTTCCAGTACCATAATATAATTTTCATAAGAACTATCCCATTCCATCGCAGAATATTAAAAGCGTTTTGGTAGAAACAAGAAATTTTATGGTAATTTTCCAACCATATTCTAATATTCAGATTGTAGATTTTAAAATTTTATCATCATTTAAAAAGTACAATTTCATAGAATGCAAATTTTGGTACTTTTCCGTTTCGCCAGCGCAAATCTCGCCA